AGAAAATAATAGCGTGGGCCCTAACCGGTTTGGCTCGGTGGATAGAGCGACAGCCTGCGGACTGAAGGGTCCCAGGTTTGATTTCGGTCAAGGGCATGTACCTTGGTTGTGGGCGCATCCCCAGTAGGGGGCATGCAGGAGGCAGCTGATCGATGTTTCTAACTCTCTATCCCTCTCCCTTCCTCTCTGTAAAATAAAATCAATCTTTTAAAAAAAAGAGGCAATGTCTATAAAAGGATGGCACAATAAATGATGATGGAGACGTTGAGGGAAGGCAGAGCCGGACCTGATAGGTATACAGTCACAACTAGATGACTTTGGTTTTATCCACAGTCCAGCAACTTCACATTTCAGTGACCTTTCCGTTGAAGAGAGAGGGACTGTCGTTCTTTGGCGTGGCATTGAGGTGGAGGCTGTCACACTGTAATCGGACACATCTCAAATCAGAATGCAAGCAGCATGGGAAGTATCACCAACATTTTGGGAATGGCTGAAGTTGCTGAAATGTTGACATTTTGAAAAACACGTACAGAACTTATTTGAAATGCATCAAAACGTAAAATGGATGAGTGAATGGATAGCTGGATAACTATGTGATCAAATAAATACAGCAAAATGTCAATTGTGGAATCCAGTTGGTGGGTATACAGGAGTTCACCATCCACTTCTTTCAACTTTTCTGTACATGTGATATTTTCATAAAAAATACTGGGAAGAAATATGTGCAGAGTCCTGATCATATGGCCAAGCCTAAATCATCATTTTTTTCTAAGTATATGAAAAAATTGAGTGACTTTTTACAAAAGGTATTATTTACCGTAAAGCTCATCTCCTCAAGACTGACTCGACACTTTAAGCAGCTCTATAGAAGATTAGAGTTCCTTGGATCAGAGTTCAAGAAGTCCAAGATTGATAACAATAATAAAAGTCATAGTACAGACGTGTATTTCTAAATGCTTCACGCAGATTATTGCATTTAATCCTCGCAAAACCCTTTGGGATACAGAGTATTATTAGCCCCATTTTACAGATGAGAAAACTGAGGCATAGAGAAAGAATAAGTAACTCACCTAAGGTCACAGAGCTAGGAAGGGAAGGGTTGGGAATATTGAACGGGAATACTTGGTATGTCAGACAAGTAACCTCACTCTACTAGGTAAGTTTAATGGGAGAACAGTCACCCGTGGAATTCAGATTTGTTGTTGAGTTATTGTAGCTATAGTTTTGCTCTGAGTTAAGTAAAAATGTCTTCTACTTGATTATCAGAACCAAACTCACCTATATTAGAGATCACAGCTAAAGAGACAGTCTTTAAGATAAGTAAAACCAGCCCGCTGGTGTGGCTCAGTGCTTAAGCACTGACCTATGAACCAGGGGTCACAGTTCCATTCCCTGTCAGAGCACATGTCCAGGTTGTATGCTCCATCCCTAGTAGGGGGCGTGCAGGAGGCAGCCAAGCAATGATTCTCATCAATGTTTCTCGCTCTCTCTCTCTCTCTCTCTCCGTTCCTCTCGGAACCCAATAAAAATATATTTTAAAAAATACGCAGCATCATCATTGTGATCATGTCAGTCCATCTGTCCCCTCGCACCTCTGCTGGTTTCCCCTTTGAACACGACGGTGTGTCTCATTCATCCTAAATGTGACGTGGAGTGATTGGAGGACTGCATCTTCCTAACTGATTTTTTCCTGGAAACCTTGTACAGGAAAAGCAGAGAGTATGAAAGCCTATCTAAAGAGCGCAGACGGCTTTTTTGTCCTGAACAAAAGTACGACGATTGGAAGGCACGAAGACTCAGACCTGGTTTTAGAGGTAAGAACTTATCCAGCCCATTCCCTCACCCCCTCCAAAGCCCTGGCTGCTTTGTGGACTCACATCTCTTTTGAAACATCACCCCTGGCCTTGCAGCCACATTTCCCGTCAAGGCGCTGCCAACAACCACTGGCCAAACGCGCTGGATTTCCGCTGGAGACGCAGTGAAAGCAAGCGCCAGGCAAAGCGCCATGAGTCCTATGTCATCCGCTGAACTTGTCTGCGGATGTCCCATCCATCGTCCCCTCCCCAGCAGCCTGGTGGGCGGTTGGCAAGGTGGGCATGGAGCTGGTGCTCTGACCTGCCCCTGCTCGGGGTAGGATAGCCAGGGCCCCCCGGAGCGCCCAGCCTGGGCAGTGGCCTTTGCCCCTGCCAGAGGTTTGGAGACCGTGGTGGGCCCCTGGGAGCCCTCGGGTCTCCACGCAGTGGGTGCGGCCTCAGCGTTTCCTCATTTCATTCCAGTCTCGAAGTAGCTGTGGTTTGGTCCAGAGCCTCCGCTCCTTGACACCCAGGGAAGCTGGGAGGAAGGAAGGAATGCTGGAAGCAGTGGCTTTGGGCCTTTTTAACTACCCAAGAGGTTAAAATGCTGAAGCAGAAAGAGAAACAGAGCAGAATCCCTTCAGAACTGGGAAAGGCAGGTTTCTCTGAGACCTGACTCAACAGATTTTCTTTTAACTTTTTCTTTTGAAATAATTATAGATTCAAAAAATTCTAAAAATTGGAGAGAGAGAGAGAGAGAGAGAGAGAGAGAGAGAGAGAGATCAATCCCGGGTCCCTTCACCTACTTTCCCCCAGTTGGTTACATATTACCTAGCCATAACCACGTCCAAACCAGGAAACTGACATGGTGCAAAGTGTGTGTTTGGCCCTAGGCCATTTTGTCACATGTGTGGGATCGTGGGCAGCCTTCACAGCTCTCCCTTGTGATAGTCTTTCCCGTCACCACGCCTCCCCACCACCATCCCTAAACCCTGACACCCACCCACAGGTTCTCTGTTTCTATACTTCTTATCTTTTTGAGAATGTTACATAAACGGACTCATCTACCATGTGACCTTTTGAGGGTTTTGGTTTCTGTTTTTTTCCCACCAGGATGTCCTTGAGATCCATTTCGATTAGCCTGTTCCTTTTTATTGCTGAGTATTATTCCATGGTGTGGACGTCTCACTTCTGTTTAACCATTCACCCGCAGAAGGGCGTTTTGACTGTTTTCCACCCGGGGCTGTTACAAATAAGTCCGCTACACACAGCCGCGTACAGCTTTTTGTACGAACATAAGTTTCATTTCTCTGGGATCAGTGCTCAGCGGTGTGATTGCCGGATCACGGGTTTGGTTTCTAAAGAAACTGCCAGACTGTTGTCCAGGGTGATTACCATCTTTCATTCCCCCCGGCAGTATACCGGACACGGTTTCCCTGCATCCTCACCAGCAGGCACTTTCTCCCTGTGTTTTATTTTAGCTGTGTTAGTGCGTAGCGGTATCCGATCGTGGTTTTAATTGCCCTTCCCAAAGGGCTAGTGATGCTGAATATCCTTTCATGTAGTTAGTGCTCATGCGCCTTCTGCATATCCTCTTTGGTAAAATGTCTCCTCGTGCCTTTTGCCCTCTTTC